ATTTTTCAGACCAAAAAACCTACCAATGCATCGAGCAAATAACTGACAGAATTAGGAAAATCAAATAAATATACAGCATAGTTGCAGCATTGCAGTTCGTAGTGCTGACTTCCAAGTATGTAGGAGCCACAAGGCAAAACAGAGTGGGACCCTCACAGTGAGGCACAGGTGTGTGGCTGATGCTCTGTGGCCTAGAAGCATATGTTCCACACAGTGTAAAATACTGCAAGGCTACGCCACACACAGACAACAGAACAATCCGCTGCAGAGTAACACTGAAGAAATAACACCTTGGCAAGACACAAACATTGATGCTTACCTCTCGTTACAAATATGGCAAAAAAGGACGGGAGCTCAAGCCACAGCCAAGTGTTCACAGCAGCACTAACATGAGGAGCAGGTTGAGTGTTTTGGGGCCTTTGAATCCAAAGACTTAACTAATTTGTACAGGGAGGAGGGGGAGGCACATGGAGGGTGGGTGGGTGTGTTCGTGTGTATTTGAGCATTCAGGGAGTTGTGTCAGGGATCAACCACCTGACCAGACTCGGGTGTGTGTGTGTGTGTGTGTGTGTGTGTGTGTGTGTGTGTGTGTGTGTGTGGCAATAAGTGTACTATTGGTAAAACTGCTCATTTTACTTTTTGGCCTTGTAAATCAGTAACTTGACATGTGTGCAATATATCCAAACGCCTGACCTCCTTGTTGGCTTGGACGTAAAACCATCTTAGATTGGTTTGCATAAACATTTTAAATACATATTTTTCTTCTTGCCTGAAGGACTATCTTTTGGTGCAAGTTCCAGAGCGTTGGATATATCTAAACCCGCCAAATATATCAGCGCACAGACAGAAATGTGCATATATTCATGGACGGGAGGCTTGTGCACATGTAGGTGTAGTTTGGTAGAGATAAAATCGTTCCTACAAGAAACCGCTCAAAATAAGGTCTGTGGATTATCTTGAGTAACCAGATTGTTTGTTTTTATGAGCTTTTATTTTGTTTTCTTTGCCGCCTAGAGCAACAGAGGCTAAGTGCCATCTGGTTCCTTTATATTGGAGAAAAGGTATATGCTTCCATGACGGATATCTCCAACACTGTGCGACTCATACCAAAACTACTTAGATTGATAAATAGCACAATTAACAACATGTTTTTTTTAGCTCATACACCTTATATGCCTAGTCCTTCGGGCTTAGTCTGACATAGCCTACTGTACAGGTTGTGGGTTTAAGTTGGTGGCATACATATAAGTGTACATTAAACTGATGTCTAATATGAAGCAGACAATGCTCAAGCTAAAAGCACAGATTCTAAAAACCGTGAGCGCCAATAAAACAAGACAAGGCCCGTGTTTAAATAACTCTTATAAGAAACCTGCAACAGTGACTTTCACCAAGAAGCTGTAATGTAAAGTATCAAGGTAGAATAATACAAAAACAATGAAACTGTTTAACAATATCCAATGCTTGTTGGCCTTTAAGGTAAGATGAACTGCATCTCTAATTTGGGACAGATTTTTAATGGACACTGGCATTGAACCAAGAGACTAATGTATGCAGAGACCATTTAGCGTGACAAAAGATATAGTTAAAATGTTGAATGAGTCCGGTACAATCTGAGGCATTCTACGATTTTCCATTACTTGTCTCCCCATTTTTATCAGAGTTATAGGTAATTTTGAGACTAGAATATGATGTTATCTTGTGACCACTGAAGTATAAGGGCAGAGAAACAAAGCTCAGCTGACAACACAAGATTCTAATCAGCAAAAATAACCCACACTGGTTAAGATAGAGGCTGTTAATAAAAATCAGTCACCAACGAAGAACACCATGCTAACTCTAAAGGTCATTTGGTGTTGATAAGTCACATTAATGGTTCATGTTCATTGGAAGTTTCAATTATTGCCAATATGACACCATTCTATTGACACTTTGTCCTCAGTAAACAGGTCATTTGGACTGTATACAATCAAGTTTTAACAAACTCCAAGGTAGGAAATGACCAAGGCAATCCTGTGTTAACTGAGTCTTCTTTCTTTGTATGCCATGTCTTTTTATGCTGCTGCAACACAAACATGTCCCAAATTGGGATCAATAAAGTTCCATCTTATATTATCTTATCTTATCGAGAGTAATCCAACTATAAGCAAGCAAAGCAAACCTATAAAAAAATTGGGAAATATATGATAAAAGAATAACGCGATCGGATCAGGGGATCACAGGTTCAAACCCCACTGCAGTCAGCATGTCGTTGTGTCCCTAAGCAAGACACTTCACCCCAAATTGCTCCTGTGCGGATTGTCCACAGTATTGGACGGAAATTGGCATTTAAGCAACATGTATTGCACTAACTGGAGACCACTTGAAATCAGTAAGTAGTAATAACAGAGGGTGGAAAATATTTTCATAGTTTTGGTGATTTCAGAATTGTTAGCATGACAATTCTCCTACAATAAAGCATCGACAAAGCTCAATCGCTGTGATCACCCTCTGTACAATATGCGCTACACAGGACTCACGCTCATATGGTAGTTTTGCTGCTGCTATCATATGGCGAGCACTACCTCTGTTCCTACAGCGGTGATCTTATCCGCCATCTCCCACTCAAGGGGAGGATAGTGCCTGATTCAACAAAATGCCTTTCCTACGTTTTCAAGCTTTGGTTTCCTGTACTTTAGATGTTTAGTTGGCAAAGCAAAGATCATAACACAATTTCAGCAACAGCAGTGAGTGCCATTGTGTGTATTTGATATGAAAAGACTAATATGGTTACAGATCCCATCAGTGAGGGTTTGCTCATCCGTGCTGGGATTTACCTGTCAAGAACATTGGAGGCTGTCAACTACATTACAAAGGCAACACTTATTCATGCAGCACTGTAAGTGTTTTAAAATACACAATGACACACAATTGAGAGCTCTGAATCATATCCGTAAGCTATACTTTCAAGCTGTATGCAATCATAAAGCGGTGCTGGTATGTTATAAGATTTGGTAATGCAGCTCAACACTTAAAGGCCAGTTTACTAGTCATGTCAACAACTGTTTAGCCTGTGGAAACGGTTGTATAATGTCTACTGTGGCTCAGTTAGGTAGGAACAAATAACCCTGATGATGGCCTCTGGTCCCACATCATGTGTTGAGTAAGCTCTGAATAATACTCTAAACATAAATAAGGTGTTGTGTTCAACCGTAAATGAGGCCTGCATTGCTCATTGGCTAATTTCAAAAGGAACATATGTACATAATACTACAATTTTAATCAATATAGAGAATCTATGTCAGCATTGATACTTTATCGGAACAAACCTTCTCTAATCCTGAGGGAAAAACGTTTCCTGAGGCTAAAGTTAGCAACAGGATGTTCCGTACTGAAAATGTACACTCTCCGGCACCAACATTAAATAATTATGTGCACTCTTTGCTTGATTGAATCATTGTAGTTATTGTAATTTCAACCAGTACATTGGTCATTTTGAAGTTTGGCTAGCCGTCTTATATTTTTAACTTAATTATAACTGATAAGATAAGTTGCATAATGGCATTATACAATACTTGATAAAGATTGCTAACTGAGGAAGCAAACTATTACTTAACGCAGGTTTTCAATGGTTTTACGTGGTTTTCAATAAAACCACTTAAAAAACTGCCTCTTCTTCCATCCAACTGTTCTATAGTTTTCAAACAAATGTCCTTAGGAGATCAAAATTAAAATGTACTTTAGTACCAGAAGCTCATATAAGTCGACATTTAAAAAACAAATGTGTGAATTAATGAGTCATAAGCGGAAGCCTCTATCTGTACACTGAAGACTGTACACAGGGGAGTTGCATACAAACGGTTACACATAACTTCTCCAATTCTGACAGTTTGTAAAAATCAACAAGGATGACATGAACATTCCAAAACCCTTAAAAACAAGCAAAATCCCTGATTTTCTAAACACAAAGTCTTAAAAAAAAGCATTGACTTTGCGAGGTAACAGGCAACTTAAAATGAGTTAGCAGTGGTAAAACGCTAACTAATTCCAGTGGTAAAACGCTACGTAATTCTTGGATTTTAGGACTCATTCCTGCACCACTCTATACTATACGTACAATATTGCAGAGTAAGACACAATGACTGATTTAGGAAGACACAGTGAGACTGTGTTGAATTAAATATTTTACACAAGAAATTGATTTCTCCATTTGCAAAGATGTGAATAAAATGCAAGTCAAAAAAAGTATGCCTATAAGTTGTTGAACACTTTAACATCAATATTAGTGTTATTTAATAGCCTAAAGTTGAATTGAAATATTCACACAGGCACAATAAGCATTGCATTATGTGTCAAAGAGGTTAAGAAGACTTGTCAAATATGTATAAGACCAAAAGTAGTCACTAAAACTAGGATGTGTCCGACTAATTAGAGCAGTTCAATGTAATTCCGAAAGCAATTCAGTCTTATTCGTGTGCATTAATACTAAATGAGCCGGGCTGCTAATGAACACCAGCAGCATGGATACCGCCCATCAGCTACCACTGCTTTGCGGAGGGGGCTTGAACACTGCACGTGGTGCGCATAATGCAACACTGAGCACTACTCTTCTTCGTCATTGAAACGTACCTACAAAAACCACAGCCTTTAAACCAAAACAAATATTAAAACGCCAGCACACATCTTGTCGCAAATATCCAAAGAGAGAGCCCTGAAAGCTGCCCGGGGATACGGAAGTTTATAGCAGGATCGTTTGTTTTGTTAGTCGCCCCTTTCGGACAGGCTAACGCTAAACTAGCCTATAGATAGGAGGGTAAAAATTCAGCCAGCTAACGTTAGCTAGCAGACACTCACAGGGAATTAGCTCACAGCATACAAAGAGCAACAATGACACATGCTGTCTGGTATTCCGCAACTTATGTTAACAATAGTGGTTTAGTACATCGACACGTTGTGGCAAACGCTGCCCGGGTCCATGTTGTGGGAGTGAATGACAACAAATGGGTTTTTTATATAGTTACCTCACTCGAGTGCCGTGTGCATCTCCTCTCCGCTCGGTACCAAAAAAGAGCCCGGCTTACGTCAAAGAACGGACGCCATTCACCAACGGCTCTTGCGAAAACTCCGTAAAGTCTGGGCAAAGGGCGGACCGTCTGTCTGCGCTATTTGCGCAGGGCTTTGAGGAATGCACTGACGCTTCTTTCCGCCACATTTGAGTCTGGGCTGTCATATGACTGGCTGAGGAAATTATGTCCGACAGGATGAGTAAACTCCACATCCGCGTCAACCGCCAACAACAGCCATAACCGGTGTTTTGGCTTAACAGCACACCATCTACAGTCGGATGATGTCATTACTCTGACACTGTTGTTTGGGCGTTGTGCAGTGAAAAAGTTCACCACAAGTTACAATAATTATTTAAATTATACATATTTCTCAAATACTAGTTTATAGTCTTGGCAAAGTAACAACTTACTACTACCAATAATAATATTAACGTTTATTCATACACCACTTTTAAAAACAAAATGTAAAAGTAACAGTGATTAACACAGTTAAAAACAGACAATGTTTAAGGGCCAAACAAAGTAAAATATGGCAATTACAACAATAGAACTAGACAAACAAGAAAGCAAAAACATTAAAACGATAGAAATCAATTGTAAATGCAGGGTTTCCCACACATATACTATACTTGGGCGGGCCACCCAGGTATGTTAACGGCCGCCCAAGTATATTTTGCGACCCATTTAGTTTAGTTTTTGTATTCGTCCGTGACCACGACACCATGTGCGATCGATTAACTTGTGGGAAATTATCCCTCGCTCTACGCCTCCTGTACCCAGTCCCGGACTGGCCATCGGGAGGACCGGGGGATTTCCCGATGGCCTGGCCTGTTAAGTGGCCTGCCTCACACAGGGTGACTGGCTGTCTACATGATGTGGCCTAGTGCCGACATGGCCACTGTCATACAGATCATAAATCAAAGCCCTTGATTGGTCTCTGTGTGTCATTCAAGCTCGGGATAACCTCAGCTCAGGTGAGGTAAAGGACTGAGTGTTTAGATTGTTAACTTAGTCTAAGTTCTCAGTGGGTCTCAAACGGTTTGGTCACCATTTATGTAAACACATATTTCCATTTGAGAGGGTAGTGATTAGTAAAATATGCATGAATAAATTAAAAAAAAGTGAACTACAGTAGGTGAAAAAAGGCAAGATACACTTTTAAAACTTGTTGAGCTAAAACTAGTCTTTGCTGCTGCCTCAAAGAGGAGCAGGGGGAGAGGAGGGAGACAGGAGAGGCTGATTCAGGAGCACTCACAACTATAAATGAACCAAAAATAAATAAATAAACAAGTTTCAGTGTTTTTTCATATTGGAAATGGTATGTTATTGGTTATGGCCATGATTTTATGATTATTAAATGTATACAGTTCTGTTTCATATAGGTGTTTCCATAGATCTAGTCTCTTTATTTCCCCCTCAAAATGCACCAGATTGATGCATTTAACTCCAAAATTAAAAAAAAAATCTTACCGGGGGAGCATGCCCCCGGAACCCCCTAGAGGATTTGATGTCCACCCCCACTTAAAATCACATTGATAGGTTCCCAAATACATTTACCATTTTTTTTAAATAGTAACCCATGTCCATATGTTTATTTGTGGGTAGTAGATTTAAACTTTAGGGCTATCACTATGGGCCCTGCCTGTACCTGTTCGCTCTGCCATAGCGTGAAGGGTCTGCTAACAAGCAACCAACAGAAAGGTTACCACCACCCCCACAAGTATATTTCAGACCTGTGGGAAACACTGTGCTGTATGAATGTAAACGTCTTTAAGTAAGAACCAAATGTAATGCGGAAAAAAATTAGAAAAATACATTCTAAATCCATCACAGGAGGAAAGCAGAAATGAACTAAATGTGTGAGTTGAAACCAGCTGAATCTGACTTTTTCAGTGGGCAGGTTCCTTATTCCCTTACCAAAGATTTAACCAAACACACACTTAACATCTTGTTTTGTAACCCGTGGATCCACATTTACTACTTAAGCCCATAGTGTTATGAAGAATACAATCTATTAAAACATGAGGAAATGGTAAGTATTTTGGTTTTTAAAGTTGGTCACAATAAACATCGTCAATAGTATTTTTTATGATCAATTCATGTGACCAAGCTATTATTATTGATAGTTATTTATCTAATGGCTGATTGCAGTTTTATCACTCTAGGAAATAAATGCAAGTCATGACCGGCTGGTATGTAGGGCACATGACTGCCACGGATGACACAGAGATAAGACTGTCTTGTGTGTTGAGTTGGAGAATGTGGAGGCTTGAATCACCTTTAAGGCTGATTGTGATTATTTATTTATTTTGAAATACAAAAAGATGTCAGATTATATAATTGGTTAGTTGAATTCCTACATAGAGAATGTATTTGGTAACTAGGAAACAGTATATTGATAATAAATGCAATATAGTGCCCGTTTCAATCATGAAAACACTGTTATTTGGGAATTAACTTTGAATAAATATGTATTCCTGTTTTTGGTTTCAAATTGCAACATTTTGACACCGACCAACAATTCTGTCCTCCATAACTAAAGAAAGTGAGAACAGTCAACATTTGTATAAGGTTGGAGGCTGAAAACATTGCACAGGTATCAATTGTACATAAAAAATGCAATTTGTGATTGTTGATCTGTGTGTGAACAGCGGCCACTGTGGTCCCAGATGGAATTACAGCATAAAGACTCCATTTCAGATTATTTCCAAGTAACAATAATAATGCATACTAAAGACATACTAAATAATCTCTACATTCAGAGACAGAAGCTTTATGACCACTGTTTTGGGTTTAGTAAAACATGTTCATGTATCTTTTTATGGGGACTACAAAAGTTACAGAATTCTATAATCACAAGTCTTTTCCATTTTTTATCATAAACGGATCCCAATCTCCCAACAACAAGAACGACAAAACATTGCCTTTGTAACATTTAACAATAGTGTTTTATATTTGGTATTAACAGTATATTTTGTGGTGTGTTTTATAGCTGTACAATGAGATGCTAAAAGATGCAAACAGTGTGTAGAGAAAGTCCGTCAAAATGACTGAGTAATGTCCCTTGTGTTACAATCATTTTGGATATTTGAACAGTAATTAACATAGCTGCACAAAACATCATATAATGGCTGTTATGAGTAGTATACGTGTTTATCACTCAAGGGTTCACTATCTTTCGGCTGACTTCTTTGACCTTTCTGCCTGGCCTAATACTTCCACTGGACTTTTTATACAGCATTTCCAAGCAATCAATAATTGAATATGCAGTGCTCCAAGAAATCCATCAGGTTTGGAAATTTCATGTCTTACCATATTATGCGGTATGGTGGTGAAAGGGCTGTGGACCATTGACCTTCACTATCTGTGTGTAGGTGGCTGTGTGTGTGTGCAGGGGAGTGTGTGGCACTTCCTCCACACAGCTCATTTCTGTCGGCCCGGCACCAGCTGGGTCCACTGCCCGGCTCCTCCCCGCTCCATGTTCCCCCCTCTCACGTCGGCCGTCCCTCCTGATCGCAGGGAGATTAATATCAAGTGATTGGCAGCCGTGTTCTCACTTAGCACTCCAGTCATGGTGCCCTGGGGCCTCCGCCAGTCGTAAAGCAATGGTGGAAGTGCCATTTTGGCTCTTACTGTCATTTAGCCAGTACCCAGCCCCAGCAGACGGAGGATGAAAAGTACCAACGACTGCATTGAATTATGAGCTCGACTCAGCCCCGGCCATATACACCCCGGCACAGGGAGCTATTTCCTGCTGAAATGCCTCTTGCTGCAGATTACTGAGGTAATATTTTCTGCGCTGCAACTAGAGTGGTTATGGTCCGCGGGCAATTTACCTGACGCAGCTTTTGCCCTTGACTGGCGTGAAAGGCGAGGCATTGACTCCGGCTGGAATTGCCCTTTTTATCACACAGTAGGTAAAAGGGGCAGGTGATACTTAATGAGGACAACACGTGTAACTGTTCACACCTGCCTGAAGCCATAAGGGCTTGAACAGCTATCTAGTGCATCATAACAGACACTGGTGATATGCATACGAGTCATATACCCTATTATAAACCTGCATACCACATGGTGGAAATAACCATTGGCCTGCATCTCATCTGTATGCAGGGGGAGTGGATAATAAAGGCTTCAGAAGGCTACAATTCCCAAATGTATTGATTCCTATATTATTGTGCGCCAGGCTACACCATGTAAAGATCAGGCAAAGACTATCGGCAGTCACTACAATTACCAATGTTCCTTTTAAGTCTCATATGCAGGCTACTGCTAAGTTCATGTATATAAGGAACAGACACAGTTAGAGGCGCTACCATGTTTATTCCTATGAACGTTTTTTAGTGACACATTTAGCCAAAAATATTCCAGTTATCTTCCACATCCATTGGGCCGATAGAGCATAAAGGGAAAATAACTCTGATTTCAACTATAAGCACATTTTATAACTTTCAGGACCTAAAGATTTTGAAGAAGGGCTGCGTTCAGACTGAGAAGTTGGATTAAATCAAAAAACATTATGCTGATTTACGGTTGTCTCTTTCTTATGTAAGTCAATGGGAAATGTCTTTTTGGGCCCGAAGACGTAACGGACTGACACGGAAATTGTTGTTCCACCTTTTGGCCACCACAACTATTTTCTTTAACCCTTATGTTGTGTTCGGGTCTCCCGTGACCCGTTTCAAGTTAAAATTATATAACTATGCTCTAGTTTTTTTTATCGGAACAAGGCTTCATGATATCCTCCACAACAACTATATAAACACTACAACACTGATTTTGACAATTTTAGCCAAGTCTGAAGGCCACAAAAAAAGTGTCTAATTTGGTGTTCGGGTCTGGGAAGACCTGCAGAATTGTTGTCGGTGACTTATGGAAGCAAACAAGAGACAGAATGATTTGAATTTGACCAGACACCAAATATATAGCATTGAAAATAACTACTTTGAAAATCATGTATCTGAATTTTTTTGCACCGAATTTATAATGTGAAATACAAATCTGAAATATCTTGATACGGAATTTCAAAAGCTGAATTTCAATGTATTTGATTCAGTGCATCATCCGGGCTACCCAGACAGGAGAAGAAATTGAGCCTGAATGCAATCGTACCAACTTCTGGCCCATCAGAGCCAAGCGGCGAACTCCGGGGCAGTGCCGGGAAGCCCAATGCT